AACACGCTATAGTGAAAGAGACAAGCAAAAATGGCTGCTGGCAGGAAAGGAGACTTCTTGTTTTTAACATTTGCTAAAATAATTGAAGGTAGAATCCAGAGGTTAATGTCAGAGCGTTAAACAATTCCAAAATATCTGTGATTCAAAATTAGATACCAGCCAGGTGAAAATTATTTATAGTTCTCAGTAATTTCATGTTCTGAAATTCTGAAGTTTTCCTATACAAACACAAGGATGAAGTACAATTATAAAGTGTAGAAACCCCTCCCCTCACCCAATGATAGTGTCCAGCCCGGGAAACCTTAAAGGTGCTTCAGGCTGTAGGGATTTCAGCTGTATGAGACTCTACATATAAGAGCGATATCTTTTAACACGATGGTGAAGCTAGATACTTGTCTGAGTCAGATGCACTGTAACGAGTTCTGACTGTCCTTCTGGGAATGTCCATGTCTAAGAGTTAAACCCCCATTGCTCAGTTCAAAGTCAACTTCAATACATGGGATTTTTAAAATTGAAAACAGGACTATATTATTTTCCATACTTTTGTTCTTTTCATAACAAAACTAATGATTACGCCTTCATAACAAGAGTTTTGAAAAGAAACACAGTATAATAGGTAAAGAACACATTTGCTGTTTTTATTGGTGCCTTGCATGGCAGTAATACTGAAAAAAGAGAATGCAAAACAAAAACAAAAACAAAAAAACAAAAACGAAAAAACAGGTTGGTGGCAACCCACATTTTTTTTAAGAGTACATAAACTCCTGTTTTATTTTTATTGTGGCATGAATGATAACATAAAACCAAAAACATGAAAATATACAACTTATATTACACTATGTGTTATGAACAAAATATAAATCTATAACTCTATGTTATATTTACATAATTATTTATTTTATTAAATTTCAAGTGAGATGGTAGGTTGCACATACTTTGTTTTGAGCTCCAGGCATTTGATTGTCTCTCTTCTATTTTTTTTTTCCATTTTTACTTGTAAAATCCAAAATGTTAGAAGGTCTAAGAGCTTTAGAGCCAGTGGAGCTATATAAATACTGTTTTAGTGAACCAGTGACAGAAACACTGGGGAGGACAGGAATCAATCAGTAGAAAACTCAACACATTATCTTCAACGTGGGAAATTGATAGTTATAGGAAACTTTAAAATTAAATACCGTAAAAGCCTGGCTAAACACCTATGCCCTACAAGAAAAAGAGATATCTGAACCACTTTAAGTGGGCTTCATAGTTTTCCTTGCAGACCCCATAATTTTTATTTTACTATTACTTGAAAGACAAATATTTTATAAACCTGTTTGTAAATATACAATTATTTATTACAATTCAATAATTTACCCATTAGAATGAATGAATGAAAGTGTAATTATTTTTGACCTTTTAAGTGCGATATAAGAGGTTTCTTCTGGAAACAGTAACAGCTTCTGGATTAAGAAAATATCTGAAGTTGGACTATAAAATAGTTAAAGATAATTTTCTTTAAATGAATTAAGGTACAATTCTACTCCAGAAATCAAATGTATGAAATAGTTTCATCAAAGAAAACTTTTTTGTATTTATTCCTTGTAAGATTTGGTATCAACAATAATGACTATGTTCTTTGGGAGGGATTTTATACATGGTTAACTCTTAACTGTAGATGCCAGATGAACTTTAAACCGATTTAACTACTTTAGGTATATATGTACTGAAGGATAGTTTTCTACTTTATCCAGTCGTAGTAACTAGCCAAATTATTAGCAACTTAAAAATGAGCAACTTTAAGCTATTCTCTTAGTGATGTTTTCTTAGATTCATAGTAAAACATGACCTTTTTTAGAGGAACTGATTATAACACTGGTAACCACCAGAATTCTGGCAAGATTTTTCCTCAGTGTTGGTGTGTGTGTGTGTGTGTGTGTGTGTGTATGTGAGAGAGAGAGAGAGAGAGAGAGAGAGAGAGGGAGAGAGAGGGAGAGAGAGGGAGGGAGAAAGAGAGGAGTCATGAAGAGGTAGGTAGGAAAGGGGAGAGGAGGGAGATTGTTTGTGTTTATTTCAGTCTGATCTTACTCTCATTTCCTCTAACATCCTTTTGGTCATCATGGGGCACAGAAAAAGAATACAATAATATTTTAGGATCCTTTACAAAAATCATAAACCAATCAAATGCCAAAAAGGCAATGTGTTAACACAGTTTAGTTGCTATTCACAGCACCTTTAATCAAGTGACTTCAAAGCACTTTAAATGTTAATATGATTATTCTTGTTTTTGTTTTCTTTTGGGGAAAACGAGGGTAAAGAAATTTTGATACCCAGTGAATTAAATGTCAGAACAAAGGAATAGAATGCAGGGGCTACGGATTTGCTTTTTGTGTCAGTTCATGCACAGTCTAGAGTCAGACATAAACATAACTGCATGAAATTGACTTCTGCATTCAGCAGGTAATGGTCACCATTAGCAATTTTGTTTTCCCGTTTAGATAAAACAAAATAAAAAACAAACAAAAGACCAAACAGAAGTGAGTGTTTTGTCAATGCACTGTAAGTGTGCTAGAATTGGTTTCATCCGTGAGGGCCTGCGGTGGCATCTACCTGGAGCTAAAACAAAGTATTCTTGTAGCCCAAAGTCATGAAATGAACACAAAGCATCTTGATAACATGTTGTAAAGTAAGTATCCAGCAAACGTGAGAGGTGCACCCACATAAGTCAGAAGGAATTTGTTAACAAAGACAGAGAACGATTTTTTTAAAAATCTGTTTTCACATTGTACATAATAACGATATAAAAACAAGCATCTATTTCTTTCTTATCCAGAGTGCTTCAAAACATAACAAAACAGAACAAAATAAAACAAAAGCCTCTAGATGACTGTGGCAATTAAATAACTAAAATGAATGATGGGAGCATAAGTTAATTAAGATTGAACACGACCCTCCTTATTAATTCACTCCTTTGTATTAAACACCAGAACTGACATTGTTGGGGCCAAAATTTTTAACAAGGAGAAAACTTATGAAAGAAAAAGTAAAACCGTGTGAATGAATATGTGTATGTGTGTGTGTACGTATGTAAGCACACACACATACATGTATGAATAAGCTGGAGATGGAAATTAGTTTTAAATATCTAACAGCTTATTGGCTGCACTTCCAAATCAGAGCAGAATAAAATAGAAAGGGAGAAATAAAATAAATTATACATAACTTACTAATCTGGGAACAGCTGACCATTATTATTATTATTACTATTATTATTATTATTATTTTATCATCATCATCATTACAACACTAGAAAAAAAAGAGGCAGTTCAAATGAAAATACAGTTATCAAAAACAAACAGAAAAACAAACAAAACAAAATCTCTGACATGCAGGATATGATCAGCTTCTCCAAGCAAAACCCCAGAGCAAGTTTTCTGAGAGAGAGAAAAGTTAAAAGGATTTTTTTCTTATTTATATGTAAAAATCAAACTTTACGGTGGTGTTTAGGGGGTAAGACAGGAAAATGACTGGAGTGAAAACCATAGCACATCCAAGCTACCGTCTGGAGTATTTACTATCTGATGCTTCAACACAAATAATGGCAATTGACTTGAAATGATTTGTCATTTATTTGCACAGGCCCTAGAACCGCCTTGGCGTTTGGCTGGCAAAATCTCAATAAGCGGTCCCATCACCATCAGTTGTCACTCTGCACATTCTGCTGGAACCAAAACTTGGACTTCGGTGGATTCCTCTTACAGCAAGGGAAAAGTAGTGGCAAGGGTCACTGGGTTCAGCCAGGCTCCATTTTGTTGGGCTGCAACAACTTTTAATCAAATTCTGCTTTATTATGGCATGAAATGCACATAGCCCTCACTTCTGAAATGCAAAAGGCCTCCACCTCATGTCATGGAGAGATGAAAAATCATCAGTTTCATTTCCTAGTTAGGAAAAGATGGAATGTTGAAGAAATAAGCTAATTCTATAATTCTGGAAAATGGCCAAATATATTCAATGAATACAATGATTGTTTTGCTTGAAGTATTAACAGGAAAAAACAAACAAAAAAATTACTAAGTAGCAAATGTTAGTGGAACCAATTGACCAGGGAGAAGGAACATCTGGGAGCAGTTTGCTAGTAGCTTCCATGTTATACATGCACACCTCTATTACACAGGGCCACCTGATCCATCCAATAACAATCATATTAGAATTTAAAAATATAATTTCTGAGCCCTATACTCGGTTAAGTTGTCATTTGAAGTGCAAAGTCAAGGTCAAGATTACTTCTAGACCAGTCGCTTAGGAGGATGTGGGATTTCATCCCCAGATGTGGGTTTAACTCACAAATGGTCCAATGTTACTCCTATTAGTACCATAATCACACACATACATACACACAAAAATCCAAGATCAGAAAATATTTTTTCTCTAAATTTCTTATGTCTCTCTCTCTCTCTCTTTTCACCTGAGAACAGCACCTACAGTTTCCATTTAAAAAAAAAAAAGTCAAATCTCACCAGCTGCTGGTATTTCAGGTTTTTCAAGGGATTGTCTAAGATATAACACTGTCCTAACTTAAGGAGGAACAGAAGAAAGGAAAGGGAAAAAATGAACTTGGTCAATACTTTAGTACAAATTTGGCACTTGCTCAAAGATGTAGTGTGGTGTGCAATAGATAAAGAAAGTCCCCTAAAGAAAATAATTGCTTTTTTGTGGTGGGTAGCAAAGTAAAAACAGGCTCTTTTTCCCTCTTCCCCCCATGCACAGACTTCCATCTTTAAAATATAAAGATGGAGAAGGTAGAGAGAAGTAAAGAGAAATTCATCTTTCTTTTTTCTGTCAGGTGCATTACAAAAAAAAAAAAAAAAAAGGAAAGGAAAGAAAAAGAAAAAACCCAGAAACCCCAAAAAACAAAACAAAACTTATTTCTTTTTAAAAATTGTAGCACAAAACAACAAAACACATTCACAAGCCACTTGTTGGCACTGTGTACCTGAGTGAGAATTTCTAGAACATTGTAGAACAAACAGCCATAAAGTTTATTAAAAAAAAAAAAAAAAAGTTGACGGGTAAGACTTCAGTGCTTGAATGTAGCAGCTGAATTACTGGCATTATTTTACCCATAGCTTATTTCAATCTCTTGTTGTTGATACTGTTGTTTGCTTGTTGTATTTTATTTTCCTTTCCAAGCCTTTTGAGGCTGAGGTCTATTAGTCAGCTGATGTCCCAACTATTTAAGACTAACAGTTAAAGTAACAGTCAGTGTATGAGAAAGTTAATGTGCTTGGCCACTGGTAAGGATGAACCAGCTAGGGCTTCTTTAAGTCCTAAGGTCACAACAATTTTTTGACCCTTATCAGTTGGCTTGTCCTGCAATATGGTTTTCACTGTCACTCCCATAATCAACATCTGGATCATCCTCCTCCTCATCGTACTCATCATAAATTTCTCCATTGATGTCCTCCGCCTGGATCTCTTCTTTGATATGTGGCTCCTCTCCTTTCACACCATAAGTGCTCTGAATAACAGGCATCCCAGGCTCTGGGCTGCTCGACACGCTTGAGTGCTCCGAGGGCAGGTGAGGGGAGGGCATGCCGGCCATGGCGATGGCTCCAGGGTACACAACTCCAGCAGTGGCGATGGGGATCTGTGCTTGTTGCCTGTCAGAGACAAATTCCCAAAAAGAGATGGTGGGTGAGTGGAGAGTTAGATGCGGGTCTTACTCTATCATTAATTTGCTCAGCAGTGTCCAACTCTAAGGGACTGCTTTTTACCCAATTGCCTAACATTTATGCAATCGTATTCTACTTTGATTCTAATATCTTACTTCATAGTGCTTTATAGATTACAAGGCATTTACATGTATTGCCCACTTGATTTTTAAAATAATCCTATTTTGTCACTACTCTTTTATTAAAAAACCTGAGGCACAGAAAGGTTAAGCAGAAGAATCCACTCCTAACTCCGAGTTCACTTTTCCTCCACTATAACATGTAGGAACAGTATTTTTTTTTCCTAGAATTAAAGATAATTCCATTTTTATGGAAAAACTCTACAGTATTAGAACTCTCAACATAAAACTTTACTGCCCAGAATGCACCAGAACTGAACAATATCGTATTGTTCACCTAGTCCTTGAAACAGTTTTAGCCCCATTGGGGTAGGGAGCAGGGCCAGCCTCATGGAAGAACAACCCGTGCAATGGCACTGAGGTCCCGCACTTGGTTTAAAGTTCTGCTATCACAGTCTTGAAATCCTTAACAACTTTTTAACAAGGGACCCCATTTCTCATTTTTGCCTTGGACCCTACAAATTATGTAACTGGTCCTAGTAGGAAGGGATTAACAAGTGATGTTCACGCATGCTTTCTATCATTCATTCATATGTTTACTATTTACCCAGAAATGTTGGGCTTTGTGTTCAGTTCCATGAAGGGCTGTGTGCTTGGATAGAAATCTTGGGCCCTTGGACAGAGATGCAAACTCTTCCAAGGAAATGGAGGGGAAAGGGCAGATTTTGGAAAGTTTTTCTAAATTATCCTCTGGCCATATTCAGAACAGCATTTACTACTCTAGGCAGCTCTCCGGATCTTACTATTCTGAATCAAATACGACCACTGTATTTCTGTGTTTTTTGAAAGAATTCTGCAGAGGCAGTGCGGTTACAGGTAGCATGTTATAACATGTCAACAGCCCTGCCACAGGGAGCAGAGCAAAAAGTCCTGAGAGCTGCGTTCCCAATTCGAAAGGGAACTTCCCTATTCTCGACCTTGCTGTGCCCTAAATATAATCCCTACTTTCCATGATCTACAATGGTCACACTTGTGCCTTGACAGCTCAGCAATCCCTCTCTATTCAGAAACAAGTATTTCTTTTGAAATCATTTTCATGATGCATTATTCGAAGTGGTTAGTTGTAGAATTTATCACAATTAAGCTGTGGAAGTCATGAGAACCACGGAAAAGACTAGTAATACTTCTAAGTTTTTAACAGCAAACTTCGAAATTATTTACTTGCATTTAGTTTATTTTCAAATCAGCTGTTAAAGCTCATGTTAGAGTTAGGAGCTTGCAGTGGATCCAGACAGATATATTTTTCAGGATCATGTAGGAGACAGTTTGGTCTCTGAAAATACAGAATTCAGGTTCTATTTCAAAAGCCACTTTGCAAGTAAGCAAACACGTTTCACATCCTATTAAGTATAACAGGAAGTGTCCCCCGGGAAGAAGCGACGGAGGCGCCCATACCCGACGTTGAAGTACTGCCGCATCTCCTGCCGCCGGTTCCGCATGATCGCCTTGTACTCGCCGATGCGCAGCTTCTTGCCGTCCACCAGGCAGGTGCGCTTCGGCCTGGGCTTGTACTTGTAGTCGGGGTACTTCTCCAGGTGCTGCTTGCTGAGGCGGGCTTGCTCCTCATAATATGGCTGTTTCTCGAGATTTGTCATAGCTTTCCAGCGAGATCCTATTGAAAAAAGAAGGTTAGGATTCCAATTTCACAGCTTCTAAGTATCCCCCCAAAAGAGATATAACAAAGAATGAGAAAATCTAAAGTTAAAAAGAAAGGAAAAAATGTCCCAAACCCAGAAATACATATACAAGTTTTTTATCAGTGAGCTTTGACTCAAGAGTTGAGACCCCACAAGAACGCAGGTGTGGTGGCTCTGTACTCAAAGAAACTGTGTACCCTAAGATATGAATACGGGGCAATATTTTTTTTTCTGGCTTGAATGAACAATTTAGCTAAACTTATATATTCTGTACTTAAGAGTTCATAGATAATTTAATGGATGTATACTTCATTTCTGTATTAGACCATGATGTAATTCAACTGTGAACTGAAAAGTTATGCAGTAATTCATCACATATTTTGAATCTGAGGCTAATTACCTACTTGTTAAGTATTTTTATATGAGTGTATATTACTTGCTACAAAAGTTCCTAACGTATGTCACATGCTCTCATTCTCCCCAGAATGTTCAAGTATGTTTACAGGAATTATTATAGTTAAAAATTCAGTTAATCAAAAACTTAATTATAATTATGATATTAATGAACGAGGACTAGGGAACTACTATGTGCTAGATACTATGCTAACAACTTTACACATATTGTCTCATTTTTACCTTTCATCACAATCCTTTAAGATGGAAACATTCATAACTATATTCAGAGATGAGAAAATTGAGATCCAAATAGATGAAGTAACTTACTCAAGGTCACACAACTATCAAATTGCGATCTGTGACTCAAGCTCGGATTTCATAGAATCTAAAGCATGCTACAATATAAACCCTTTTATATGTGTGTACCAACCTTATATAGATGATCTAGAGAAGTCAGAATTACAATAAGTATGTACTGAGTAAGATTTTTCTCTTAATAAATTACTTTTAATAATATATAAAGATGTCACTTCCCATGATACAGTATGCATTAATAACGATAACCCGCATTTTTTCCTCTTCTTTTCACTAATAATTTTGGTGTAGATTCAAGTAGGATTGAGAAAAACAAGTTTAAAAGCTTAACTAAAAAACACTATGCTAATTCTCATTTTAGTGATTCTGTCAGTATGGCTATGGGTAGTATTAATGTAAGTAGTAGTAACAGTGTTTCTTTTTTAAGACAGACAAAAATCTATTTGCAGATGAAGTGTGTTTATCTGCAAATAATCAGCTCAACTTGACCCAAATGTACAAAGACCAAAAAACTGGAACTACGGAATGTCTACCAAATGTTACTGGTAGTGCTGCCTTTACCTGCCTTCCAAAGTCATCTCAGCAAGATCTCAGAACCTTTCAAGTGGCTTCATTACTCAATCATAACTCCATATCTCACATGCAAATACCTCACTGTTGAACAGTTCTTCCATACAAATGCAGACAATTTCTCAATATGGACCATTATGTTTATTAAAGCATGCAGTAAAAGAGGAGATATCTACTCCCTTAGAATTGTTTTCTATTGGAACAGATGTTACGTAGGTGGGTGTATCAACACAGGTATTACAAAGATTTATACACATAAATTTTTTCCAATCTATACAGCCAATATCATTTTATTCTATTTACAAAAGAAACTCAGGTTGCAGTTCAAATAATAAGAGTTTCTTTTTCTATTCATTTCTCAAACTTCTGTTTAAATAGCATCGTCCAACATTAAGTCAGTTGGTCAGGCCATACCATTCATAGGTACAATCTCAAACTCCTTATTTGCTCAACATTATTCTCTGGAGGTACTTGAATACGATTATGCTGTTCTCAGGGCATACATAAACACAGGTAAAGTTATAATACTATTGAAGTAGATCAATTCTTTTCATGGAGCTTCTTGTAATTATGTATACCAGCTTTTTGAACCTCAGATCAGGAAGTGGAAAAGTGAGCTTACCAGAAATAATTTACTGGCAAATAGGAATACATTAAAAAACAAATCAAGAATGGCTGACATAATATAAAACTCACTATTTTATCCCCAAATTGAGCAAAGAAATTAGCATTCCTTTTTAGAATAGGAATCACCAGAGATTCTTCCCTAAGGCTAAGTGTTCTATAAGCTCAAGAAGATTATGTTTCTCTAGGAAAGGAAAGGTTTATGCCTTGATGCAATCTGCCTTGGAATGTGAGAACTATTGTTATATTTCCTACGATGTGCATAATGCTGTATTAATTACTGAATATGCAGTGGTGAACAAGAGAATTCTGGTTCCTGTCTCCTTGAGCTTATATACAGTAGGAAAAAATACATTAAACCCCTAATTCCAAATTTTACTTTAATTATAACTGTGGAAAGTATAGGAAGGTACAAGAACATATGGTAAGGAGATGAGATCAATCTTCTGTAGGTCAGGAAGGCTTTGCTACAGAAATGACTCTTATAGGGATCAGAAAGAGAGCATTGAATGAAGGAAGGATACAATGGTCAAGGTCTTTCTGTGGAAAGGGGGATTAAAGAAACGTAAAGAAAGCTGGTCTGGGAACACTTATTCTAGATTATAGAATAATGTGTTGCACAGTTCTAGAATCACAATATGGCCAATTGAGACCTTTAACTAAAAAAAAAAAAAAAGAAAAAAAAGGAAAGCTGGTGTGGCTAAAATGCTAAAATCCCTATATATGATAATAAAAGACACATAAAGTCTCAGATCTGGCATGAACCAAATGTTGCACAGTTCTAGAATCACAATATGGCCAATTGAGACCTTTAACTAAAAAAAAAAAAAAGAAAAAAAAAGGAAAGCTGGTGTGGCTAAAATGCTAAAATCCCTATATATGATAATAAAAGACACATAAAGTCTCAGATCTGGCATGAACCAACATTACAAAATGTTTTAACTCTTGATAATATAATTTTTCTGGGAGTATCACTAAATCCTAAAGTACATTTTAAAATATGCCCATATTACTTCATTTTATGACAGTACAGAACAGTGTCTCAGCTTGGTGGCAAATCCAGTTTTCTTTTTTTTTTTTGTCTTTTGTCTTTTTCCGTGTCCGGCAACGGATTGCAACCCTCAGTGTTGCCCCCGCCCCGGACCGGGGACCAGCAACAGGATTGCAACCCTCGGCGTCGCCCCCACGCCTCGCCCAGCCAGTGAGCGGGAACCGGTCTGTATGTGGGATCCGAACCCTCGGGCGGGAGCGCCGCCGCGCTTCCCAAGCGGCGCACTTATCCAGTGCGCCACCGGGCCGGCCCAGTTTTCATTTTTTAATAATAACTTTAAATTGGGTGAATCAACTGACAAGTCTCATTTTGGTTTAAATGCCTCTGCAGGTACAGTAACCACTGTATGTAGCTGTGGTGTAAAATCCTGAAACACACTCAATGAGAACGGTGGGAAAACATTTTTGGTATCTCCAAAACAGATGAAAGCACCTATTTCATTTAGGTGTGGCTGGTTGCTTACCCTGGATCCATGTACAGGGAGTAAGTTCCCTGCTGTTTTCAAAAGGCTGGCCTTTTACAATGAAAAAAACAACAAAGGTGATTGGATTCCTTCTGATAACAAAAAGAGGAAGTTTCAATCAAAAATATTTTATGCTCAAAATAAGGAAAAAAGGTCCTAAAAGTGTTCTTCTTTCTGAATCTGGCAATACATTAAAAGTGAGGGGTTTGAGCTGAGCAACACTGTCATCTCCATGGGGTCTGTAATGAATTTGCACATTTTACTCCAACTACTGTATATCTAATCAGAAAAAGATGTCTCCCATCCCCTGATCTAGCGCCAAACAGTAAAAGGTGATTCCTTATGTTAACAATTTCAGCAGAATGGCTTATTAAAACCAGATTTGAGGGTATTATAAAATGCTTAGAAGCCCTTTAAAATGTCAACTAGGATCCCCAGAGACTACGTAAAATGTCAACCCAGCTCAAGCGCCTGTTTTAAGCAGAATGAATTAGCGGCATGCTGTTGGAGGCTGTTATCCAAAACAATCAGTAAAGAGGAAAACATCGAGCCTTCTTTGTACTTTTATACGAAATGAGCCATTTAGAATGATCTTGTGGATATTTGAAGATCACTTATTTATTTAAAGCTATGACTAAACATTGAGGTCCAAAACACCTCAGTGTTTTATTTTTTTCCCAAATATAAATGCTATACAAGTATCTTTAATTAATACAATTTTATCAAAAATACTGAAATTAGGCAGCACTGTTTCATGTAGCCTATTGTGATATAATCATATGGTCAGTCTAATATTCTCTCCTTCAAACCAGAAAGAATTTTCTTAGACAGTCATCTCTTTTTCATAAAGGCTTTTGGCACATTTCTTAAAATATCATTTCATGTCATCAAAACTGATATTTCTCTTATACTTAGAATAAAGTTTTAATCAATGATTATCACTATTTTAGTATTCAGACACATCAACTGAGTGATATAAAGACAGTTTAGCTAATCTTAGTATTCAGCTTTTTTTTTTGACATTTTTGGATTTGTAATTTGGGAATAACTAATATAATTAAAACAAAATATGCTTACATATTTTATTCTTTTCTAAAGTTTTTCCAAATAAAACAGGTTTGTTGTTTTTTAAAGATGAGATATTTCATACAGAAAGAAGAATATAGTCATAAAAAGGAAAAAATAGGTCAGAGATGGTGGAGATGCAAAAAATATTCATTTTCTCTTGATCAGTTCCAGTTTTTTATTATGCATGGATATACAGGTTTGTTGTTTTTTAAAGATGAGATATTTCATACAGAAAGAAGAATATAGTCATAAAAAGAAAAAAATAGGTCAGAGATGGTGGAGATGCAAAAAATATTCATTTTCTCTTGATCAGTTCCAGTTTTTTATTATGCATGGGTATATATGTTTACATAGCTATTCACATTTTCTATGAATACTAAAGTTTCACATGCTCGTGTCTTTTCAGATAACATTCTAAAGATTTTAAAATCATTTTAGATGAAAATTAAGACACAAGTGGTTAACAGTTTTTGCTTGTTTGTTTTGATCGCATTACAAATATCGTGGACAATATGGGATCATAAAAACACATGTATATGTTTAGTAACTACTTGTAGGTGATCAGTTCCTTAATGCAAAGAATCAAAAGGATGCTATCTGTGTCTCGTTAATGTGCCAAACATACATATTCTCTCTCTCTCATTATCCCATCTGATTGGCTGGAAAATATTTCCATACATTTTGTGTGAATTTTATGTGTGGAAGAATCATAACAAAATATCATGATGGAAAATCTATAATTAACTATATTTTGTGTTTCTTTTTTCTCCAGCAAATTTAACATAATTAATACATTATAATTCAGTGCTATTTGAATTGTGGCCTGGAGACATGTATCGCTCTGTGAACTGTTTGTTACTGGTCCATCATAAGGTAAATACATAAACTGAGAGTAAAATATATAATTATCATGTTAAAAAATAGATAATTTAGGTAGTAATTGGCAAACTCTAATAGCCATATAAAAATATAACCTATGACACAGCAATTCCAAGTCCTAATTCTATACTTCAGAGATACATACAAGAAGTTTCATATGAGTGTTAATTCTAGTTCCCATCGGAAACCAATCTGTGTGCATGAACAGGAGGATTAATGAATACATTTTGTATATTCATGTTAAAAAAAAAAGGGATGCTATCTCCACAAACTACTTGTAATTCCAAGTCATTATGAATTTAATTTTAATTTTTTTATTTTGCATTATGAATTTTAATAAAGCTTTAGTAATTTAGACAAATTTTGTTACTTATTTGTTAAGAAAAAAATTTGCTAATAGAATTAAGTGTTTCTATTCTATTTTTACTGTTTAGTGCTTAAAAGTCAGAGAATGAATAATCAAAATTTGCTTAGATTGTACTGTACCTGGCCATCAAACTACTTGAAGATTAAGATAAAGATGACAATGATGATGATGTTAAGAGAATGGCACAGAAGAAATGGAAGCTTCTTTTTTTCTGGAACTTAAATTGGTCTATGATAAGAGTCTTTCTAATCGGTACCCTTTCTTCCCCCCATCATTTCTGTGTGCTCCAGTGTCACTGCATGTAGAGTAGATGTGTACTTTGTTTTCTATTAAGTTGGACGTTGCAATGGCAGGAACAGTCCTTTTTAAATAATACTGATAATTATTTAAGTTACTATGTATTACTGAAAGTACCTTCAGTACCTAAGATTACTAAAAGTATAAATTAAAGATACACATTCTCTATCTTCTTGTGTTCTGAGAATGTAAAGTGGTTTTCAATGATAGCACTAGAACAAGAACAAACAGCATTCCCGCCTCCACCGTCACCCCACAACATGATGAATTCCACCAACAAAACTCCTCATCCTATGTTACAAAGGATGACAAAAGAGGAAGGAGACTTTAAGATTAACAATAACTTGTCTGTAGTTTGCAAAGGAAAATAATAAAAATGGTTAATACCAACATGTAGTGGTTTATGTAAAAGCAATTTTTTCCTCAGTCTTATTAAAATTATTTTTAGATTTTTAAGGAGAAAATATTGTAATAATTAGTAGGGAGACACATAGCTAAATTAGCTATAGAAATTGGGTACATTTCTTGATGAATGTAGAACGCTTCATCAGAAGAAGACGCCTCAGTGATGCTGCTGATTTTTTGGATAAGCAGATAGCATGAACTGCCCGGCCTCCAAATCCATTATCCTTTCACAACTGCAGAAAACAGAACAGGACATTTATTCCACACATTGCTTAATTCTTAACGCTTTTCTTACCCAATATCTTGCTGATGTTGGAGTTGTGCATGTCAGGAAAGGCTTGAAGGATTTTCCTTCGTTCATCTTTAGCCCACACCATGAAGGCATTCATTGGACGCTTTATGTGGGGTTCATTGCTACCACGTCCCCTGGATTCCCTATAAATTCTTGACTCTGAGACTCCAGCACTTCCTAAAAACAGGAAACATTGCTTCATGTTAGTGTTAAAACTTTTGGCAACTCTCTTCATTGAATTACTGTTTTTTAGTCTATTAAAATATGTGAAAACAAAAAGTACTTCTGATAATGATACTTCCAGTTCTTAAGACAGATGCTTATTTATGAAGTTTTTGTGATAAGCCTTGTGGTGGCAAATGTTGTACTTGTATTTCTAATTCATTTCTAATATATTTTCCTTTGTTTCAATGGACAATAGACCATTTCAGCATTTACTTTTAAAAGCTCAGAAGAAACTTGAATATAGGATTTTAGATGCAATTTGGAAAGAGAACAGTTAGATCAATAGGCATGGCAGTATTGTAGAAATATTAAATAAGTAAAGAAATGCAAAAACCATATAACACTAATCTGTTTGGCAGAATGGATGATTATAGTGAGGATATGTTTTTGCTACTTGAAGATTGTCAGACTTAGAGCACTCATACCCTTTTCCTCTCTCTGACAGTAGATAAAAACACTGCTAGATAAAATTTTGAGGTTAAAATACATATTTCCCTGTAATGTGCTTGGATTTTCCTTAAAATCTGTACTAATAAATGCATAAAACATGCAGATGCAGTAATGATAGGCTGCCTCCCAAAAGACTTTTGAAAACGGTAGGGAAAAGAAGAAACATATAGCTATATTACTACGGTTTCTTAAGAAGTCTACAGTCACATGTTTAAGGTGAGAAAAATAATATATTGCTCTGAATTGTCCCCCTAACATCCAAAGTTACCCAAAGAGACCCACTGATAATTCCATTTCAATCAATAACATTCACGACATGTTTAAGGTGAGAAAAATAATATATTGCTCTGAATTGTCCCCCTAACATCCAAAGTTATCCAAAGAGACCCACTGATAATTCCATTTCAATCAATAACATTCACATATGATAAACACATCCCAGGAGTCACACTGAAACCTCTAGAAGCTGCATTCACTTCTCTGCCTGATGTGACTTCTTAGAATGGCTTCTGCAGATTAGTTTCCAAGATTACTCGAGTTTAGGTAAAAAACATAAGAAGAATCAGAAGAAAACACAGAATTTGGACACTAGGTTTTCACTGATTATCATTACAAAAGATGGAATAGATGTATTTTGGTAATATCTAAAATTTTTAAATATTTTGGAGATTTCTAGAGCTTGCATTATCAATGAAAGTACTGCTTTTCTTTTCTTCCTTCATATTCCTCTTCTTTGCTTAATTTGAAGGGATAGGAATCAACGAAAATTACCCAAACTTGAAGACTTCTATAGCAGCAAACAAAAAACACAACATATGTGTTCGTAGAGATTTACTCATTATTTCTCATTCACAACATGCTCTTTGGTCTGATGAAGAGTGAAAAATATTTCGCATACAAGCATGATTGAATTTAACAAATATCAGCAGCAAAACTTTGATGTTTTAATGCTGATTACCATGAGAATATTTTATCATGCTAATACAACTTAAAATTTGTGAAATGTGTTTTACCAGTAATTGTCTTTTTATTGGCAAAAATGAGTGCTAATATATGGCAACATCTTTCTAAAATGGGTTTGTAACTAGCAAATGATCATCTGCACATCTGCCTTTTCTTGTTTTTACACCTTACAGCAACATAAGCAATAAAATGAACATCATGTGACTTCATCAAATCTAAACAAGCTCTTTGTATGTACTTAGGCCAGGTTTATTTTAGCCAAGTGAATTAGAAAAACAGAAGGAAATGTTTAGATACATTAGACCAGAAAAATACAGATTTTTCTTGGATATCTAATAGAATAAAATTCAGTTTTGGCAGAATTATGTGGTTAAATGTTCATGTTTGGCTAGTCCCTTGGCTAGTGCAGACCTGGACTTAAAGGTAGAACCCGCCCAAGGCACAGAGTAGACAGCTGTGTATGTGGGGGATTAGGAGGACTCCCTCTATCCTAAAGCATGCTTCTCACTGGTTTTCTCTGGTGCAGCCTTTCTACATTCAAGGAACTTTCTTTGTAATAGTAGTAAAGCTGGGGGTAGTGACACCAAAGGAACTCTTAAAATGTATGTACAGATAGTCCCCAATTTAGGATGGTTCAACTTAGCAATTTTGACTTTACGATGGGCTTATCAAGGTATTAAAGGTGTTTTTGACTAATGATATTTTCATCTTATGATGGGCTTGTCAGGATGTAATCCCACCGTAAGCTGAGAAGCAGCATATGTCACCTGACATGAGAGAGAGGCTCACAGTCAGGGCACTGCAGAAGAAGAATAGCACTTGCTTCTTTTCTCCTCTTTGCTACACTATTAAAATGGGAGTATTGATTTAATTAGGTGTCACTGTGGACATTTAAAATGTTCAGTGATGATATAGACAACCAAAGTCTTGAGGCATATGATGGAAGTATGAAACGGTGCAGCTGGAGACTAGTGAGGTTACAGAGAGTAGGCAGGACTCTCACTGTGGACATTTAAAATGTTCAGTGATGATATAGACAACCAAAGTCTTGAGGCATATGACGGAAGTATGAAACGGTGCAGCTGGAGACTAGTGAGGTTACAGAGAGTAGGCAGGACTCTTATCTATGACTATGTAGTAGTTAGTACAGGACAGAGGGTTCCAAAATGCAAGAGACCATCCTGAAAATGTCCTCCAAGCCATTTATTGTGGTCAGGGTTTGACAAATGGAAATTTAAAAATGAGCTGACAGATACCAATTCCTGAAATGTTTGTTTTAGGTATAAGAAATAGGGAAGTGAGAGACAGCGTAGATGGTGATCAAGAACATCTGCTTTAGAATCATGTCATCCTGAACCCAAGTCCCACCTGTGGCATGCAGAGCCTTGTGACCTTGGAAAAAATCATTCAAAACTTCTAAGGTCAATCTTTTTATCTGTGATAGTACTTATCTCATAGGTGGTGCTAGAGACTAAATGAGATGATTTATGCAATGAACTCAGCAGAGTGATTGGAACATATGAACTTCTCAGTATATGTGACGTCTTATTGTATTGATCAAGTACAAGGTGGCTGTCTTGTCTACTTTGTAGCATTTTTAACTGGCACTAAATAGACACATGTACATTATTAGAATATACATATAGGCAATTTTCACAAACCATCAGAATCTCCACTCATATTGAAATCCATCATTGCATGGCTAAATTTTCCTTCTTCATTCTGTTTAACTGCCAGTTGCTGCGTCAGACTCTCCAGTGTCGTTTTTTCCTTTAAAAAAAAAATTTAGAATGAGAGCTCAGTCTGGAAATTATAATTGTTCAAAGACATTTTTCTTGGGCCATATATAATACATTAGTTTCTGGAAGGGATGGGATGTTGATTTATTCACTTTTGCACACTCAGCACTTTATACAGAGGTTATTAAAGGAAACAATCAGCGGGATTTCTGAAGGAACTTTGAGTCTTACAAACCTCTATAAAGTCTTGACAGTTGAGTTTGGTATGCCTAAAGAATATAAGCCAGGATCCTTGGAGACAACCTTCCCAAATCACAAAATGTGCATAGAAATTTCACAGAAGCAACCTGTTTTACATTTGGAATGTCTGCTTTATTTTTAGCCAGACAGTAGAAATATGGGAGTGGCATGGGTCCCAGAGAAAGTCTTCCAATAGTCAGGTGACCAAATGATAGAAACATAATTCACAGTAGTGCCCTCTGGTTGCCATTTCCCTAAATGCCATCTGCATTCCTCATGCAAGGGTAATGAAGATGTTTAAATATTCATTGCTAATTGCTTGTCAAGTCTCCGTACATCCAATGTGAGTGCCTGCTACTTGGACCACAATTTGGTTTGGATAGCTAAGCCAAAATATTGAGTTGGCGAATTATTTGAGATACAAATACACCGAAATTAGATCTGCAAAGACATCAAGCCATTTAAAAGCATGCAGTGCATGATTTGCATTCATGGAGAACATTGCATTACAAACTGAATTATTTTCAGGGAAAATATAATGCTTAATCTAAAGCACAAGAGATATTAAACTTCTTCCAAATTAAGAAATTGGGTGATTTTAGGAACAGAAAAAGCATACAATGAAAGGCTGACAACTTTCAAACTCTCCAGCACTGCTCCGAGGATGACGTGATTCTAAACCAGTTTTAAGAAAAGCATCTATTGGATCTCATAACATTTGCTCAAGTTTTGTTATAATTATTCACCTCATTTTCTGAGGAACACAGTCATGAATTGTACTAGTGAACCACACACATTGCAGAACTGCTCTTGACACAATAAATTTTCGCAGAAAATAATCAACCATTTAAGATAATTGTATTATAAGTAAAGGACCCAACTAATGTTCCCACCAAGAACTAATAGGATATTGAAATTGATACAGTATACGCTTTATCTCTGCAAAATCTCTGACAATATTTACAATAGTATGTACTAGATTAAAAATTCTCCTGTGTCAGTGGCCTTGTAACTCCTGTGCTCTATTCATCAGTCTGTACATGATTTAATAGAAAACCATTATTTGTCAATAGTATAAAATATAGTAGGGAAACCAGAAACAGAAAATAATTTATATTAACTTTAGTTCTATAGGAATATAGAATGCTGCATTTGAAATAAGTTATACATTTAATAATGTAGAATCTGATCTAATTTGTTTTGTGCATGAAATTGGTGCTTTCAACTGCTTTATATGTTCTGGATTTCTTTTGCTGAGAGAGTCTACTGTATATATTCAGCTGAGCTCAGGAACACCAAGGACACCAGTTTAACAGATTCTCTTTACAGTAAATGTAGCTGTTAGAACAGAAGACAGATATATTTAAAAAAACACATTCTGTCAACATGATCTAACAGTCCTCAGGTCAATGAAGACTTTACTGTACTCTCTTTGGGGAATGTATTGGGCATGAATCAGCTCTCAGGTTTTGATTTAACAGTATATAGGGCAGTAATACTACATATTTTTCTAGAGAGTTTTCCATTCTGAGGCAAAGCCTTTCAAGAAGAAAAAGCAAATAAAGGCAATCAGAGTAGAAAAAGAGTGCAATGACTTCTGATTTCAGCTCTGCGGGTCTTGGGCCATCTTACCAAAACACTTAAAATGAGCAAATGATGAGCAGGGAGGTCATGATCCATTTTTACAATAAGTAACTTCTAACCATTTACCTCTAAAACACATAGTAAAATCAAATGATTCAATTAGCTACTCAGAAGTGGAGCTTATGATGCTTCTTAAGATGTCAGTGGGAAATAGTGGAAGTCAACATGATAATCTACACATGTTTGTAACCTTTTGTATAGTCATTTAAGCTAATTCTCAGACATGTGAACTGGAAAAAAGGAGAGGTGACTGGAGGAATTGGGGAACATGTGATGTGCCTTTAATTAAAACATGTTACAATAGCATGTAAATCAAAATGGTAACATTGTCACATTTTAGAAAAACTAGGATATGATAAATTCAGAAGACATAAAGGATCTTATGTAAGGAGGAAATAACCTAAATGGAAAATATTTACCATATCATTCTATACGAAAATTGATCCTACAGTTAATGTTTATATATAGTCCTATGTATAGAGGCAGATATACATTTATATGTGGATAGGAGTTTAGACAATATACTGAACCACGAAAGAATGAGCAGGATTTAAGATTAGTTCTCAAAAGTTTAAATTAAATCTATTCAGGCATATAAGAGGAGAAAGAATCAGCTAAATGTTATACAAATGCTGGTACACTGGAAAAATTCCTCCCATCCTTTCAATCCCACCCATCCCCTCCCCAAAAGAGGTCACCAAGTATGCACTATTATGTCTAAAACTCAATCATTTGAGATTCTGTTCTTTGGGTTAAATATTTTCCTTTTCCAAAAGCCTTTTTTCATATGTGCAAATGCCACTGGAAAAGGTAATATTTTTACTCTCAAAGTTTTTATTATTAAATTAATCCTCTCTAAATAGAGGCAGCTGAAACAAAATGTGGGCAGTAGGTATCACTTAGGAAGGGAATAAGTGGGAAGATGTTGAAAATTAGAAACACCAAAGAAACTGAGTTTGGGGAAACAGAAATAAATGTTGATGGACACAGATGAAAATTTTTACCAGTCTTACAATTTTAGTTCTAATTTGCTCTGGGAAAAATCACATTAGTCAAAAATTTGCACAGAAAAATAGCACCCCGTTTGCCATTTTAAGATCAGTGTTCTAGGACACAAATCCAGTGTAGCACTTATATTTTACTGCACTCTTATTACTCTTCAAACACTTATCTGAAACTGATAAAATTCACTGGCCTTCTCTCCCTACATTCTTTCTATTACAAAGAAAGAAAAAACCAAAGACAGATAAACACATTTAAAGAAATACTTGACAAAATTCTGAACTTCCCTGAGTAATCTGATAGTATACAGAATAAAGAGGTTAATTACAACTAAGTAGCCAATATGAAAGAGTCCTGGGGACTTATAAATAAGGGCCAGACAAGATGACCTGCATGCTTTCTCTCTTAATAAAAACTAGCAATTGGATAACAACCACATTTCCTTTGGAAAGATGAGTCCTTTCTGGCAAATCAAATTTTATACAACTCTACAGGTTTGCTAAGATCAAGGTAAAACATTAGGTTAAGCCTGTTTTTACTTCTGATTCTATGTTGACTTGAAAAAAGATCCAAGTGAACTGTGTATCATCCACAGAAAAAAAAAAAATTGCACACCATATGGTTTCTTGGGTTCAAACGACTAACTCTAAAACTCTACATCCAAAGAACTATTATTCTGATTCTATGTTGACTTGAAAAAAGATCCAAGTGAACTGTGTATCATCCACAGAAAAAAAAAGAAAATTGCACACCATATGGTTTCTTGGGTTCAAACGACTAACTCTAAAACTCTACATCCAAAGAACTATTATTAATGTATTAATGTTCACTTGGGGAATTTGTCAGCTGGTCCTGTGCTCTGTGACTTATCCAATGGCTTGCATATGGAAAACAGCATGTATACTATTTGCATGTGACACAAGGCTATGGTGGGAATTAACAAGGACAGCCAAAGAGATGTAGGCAATCAGTTGATGAGATGTGGTCAGTATAGATCTACACTTTCTAAGCCAAAACCATTATGAACAGCAAACTGCAGTGAGGATTAATGGAAAGAGGACATATTTAAGGTTAGAAAATAATGGGTTTTGGCATCAGGGTCATCACATTTTAACCAAACTTTGCCATATTACTTTAAACAAATCAATTAGCCTCTGTGAAGTCCCAGAATCCTAATTTGTAAATTGGGGGTTAAATATATGATACATTCTCATTAGTCTGAAAAACTCAAGATAGATATGCTTTTAATATCAGGAAAAAAGTCAATGGGGAAAATTGAAAAGACAAAAATTCACATAAGAATTACAGGCATAGTTCAATTGAGTACTAAGTACTCTATTATGGTTATGATCCTCTATTCCCCATGGTCACACAAATATGCATTAAAAATGAGAATTTTAGTAACAACTCTGAAGATTGTTGAGATTTCCTCCCTCGTTTATGATTTAAGACAATGTATTATATCATTTTTTTTTCTTCATTTCATATTCAGGCATGATGAGTTACTGTCCCATAATATGTCTAGTACCTATTTAAACAGAAAAATTTCCCTACTCCATTACTTCAACTTACTTAAAAACAACTGAAAATTCACTGTGTTTGCAAAGGCTCAAATGGACATCCTATGTTGATATTTCACAGAGCAGTCAAAAAAAAGAACATGCAAACTATAGCCTAGAGGAGGTAGATATTTCCTTAGTTACCTACTCCTAAATTAAACAGTATGTGAGTAGATAGTTCTTCTTTTATTCCCTAAAATTGGGATTCCTATAAGTGATGAGCTTTGCTCCCCACTAGACACACATACGCAAAGAGAGAGAAAGGCTGTGGATCAGCTATCATAATGCACATCCCTGAAATAAAGCTCACAAAGCTATAAAACTCATAAAAAGCACATGCATGAAATGACAGAACAGAGTGTGACTGTCAAATGTTGACTCAGTAACAGTTAAACCCCTTATGGCTGCACTTCTTCATGGTCTCCTACTATACTAATGACATGGGAAGAAGGGGAAAAAAAAGGTTTTTAACCCTCCAATTATGTGAACCTCACAGACCACCAAAGAAGATGAAAGATCATTTATAATGTCATAACAATTTATCAGTTGGCTATTTTTTTCATCAGCTTAAGTAAAATATAAAGAA